TTTCCATGGCCGTTGCTAATTTCACTGTTCGACGAATACTAATAGGCAATGGTAGCTCGGCTGACATACTATTTCTTAGGGTGTACGAGAAATTGAAAATTGGCCGAGAGAAGCTCCGACCCATGAAGTCACCACTGGTGGGATTTTCAGGCGACAAAGTATATCCATTAGGGGCAGTTACCCTTCCAGTTACTGCAGGAGCCAATCCAAAGCAGGTCACTGTAATGGTGGACTTTGTAGTGGTGGACTGCCCATCATCATATAATATTATCCTGGGGAGAACGACATTGAATGCTATGAAAGCAATCATGTCCACTTACCATTTCCTGATGCGTTTCCCAACTGAATATGGTATGGGAGAGATAAGAGGGGACCAAACAATGGCTCGCGAATGTTATGTCGCCTCTCTCAGAAAAATAAAATCGCAAGAGGCATTTACGATTGAAGGGCTGGAAGGGAAAGATAGACCAGACTTTCATAGAGCGGAACCTACAGAGGAGCTAGAAGAGGTCATCCTTGGTGAGCCTAAGAAAAAAGTGAGTATAGGGTCTTTACTCCCCCCAGGTATCAAAGATGAACTTACTCAATTCCTCAGGAAGAATCAAAACGTATTTGCATGGGTACATGAAGACATGCCGGGTATAGACCCCACTATCATGGAGCACCGCCTAAATGTAAATCCTAACTTCAAACCTGTCAGACAAAAGAGGAGGACTTTTGCTCTAGAAAGGAATCAGGCTATATCAGAAGAGGTGGAAAAGCTCTTAAAAGTCGACTTTATTCAAGAGGTGTACTACCCCGACTGGCTGGCAAATGTGGTCCTAGTGAAGAAGGCAAATGGAAAGTGGAGGCTATGTGTGGATTTCACCGACCTTAACAAAGCTTGCTCGAAGGACAGCTTTCCTCTCCTAAGAATCGATATGCTCATTGAGGGAACGGCTGGACACGAACTATTAAGTTTCATGGATGCATATTCTGGATACAACCAGATATCTATATACACCTCAGATAGAGAAAAAACGGCTTTCATCACTGATAGAGGTTTGTACTATTACAAAGTAATGCCGTTTGGGCTCAAGAACGCTGGTGCAACATACCAAAGGCTAGTGAATGCAATGTTTAAGCATCAAATTAGTAGAAACATGGAGGTATATGTTGATGACATGTTGGTGAAAAGCTTAAAAGCTGAAGACCATTTGACTGACCTGCAGGAGACCTTCGAGGTACTTAGGAGGCATAAGATGAAACTCAACCCCAGCAAGTGTGCCTTTGGGGTTTCCTCAGGAAAGTTCTTGGGATATATGGTAAGTAGAAGAGGAATTGAGGCCAATCCAGAGAAGATCCGAGCAGTCATTGACATGAGATCGCCAAGATCAACCAAGGATCTACAACGACTAACAGGGAAGATTGCTGCCTTGAGTAGGCTAATCTCTCGGTCAACTGACAGGTGTCTACCTTTCTTTCGTGTGCTAAGGAAGGCTTTTGAATAGACCCTAGAATGTGAGCAGGCATTCAAAGAACTAAAGTAATACCTTAGTTCTCCCCCACTACTGTCTCGAACCATACCGGGAGAGGAACTATACATATACCTTGCAGTCTCCACGACAGCTGTCAGTTCAGCTCTGATACGAGAAGAAGAAGGGGTCCAAAGGCCAGTATACTTCGTGAGCAAAGCACTTAGGGGTGCGGAGGAAAGATATCCAAGGATGGAACAGTTGGCCTTTGCTTTAATTGTGTCCGCCAGGAAACTGAGACCATACTTTCAAGCGCATACGATAGTGGTCCTAACAGATCAACCCCTTCGACAGGTCCTACATAAGCCAGAAAGCTCTGGTCGATTGATGAAGTGGTCAGTAGAGTTAGGGGAGTTCGACATTCAGTATAAGCCAAGAACAGCAGTAAAGGCTCAGGTGTTGGCTGATTTCTTAGTTGAGTTTACCCTTCCAGAAGAGGAGAAACAACCCCAATTTTTGACAGAACCAAGTTTAAGTGAGCAGATGGGCCCAGAAGTAGTCTGGGACTTGTTCGTGGATGGGTCATCTACTGCTCAGGCTAGCGGAGCCGGGCTTGTTCTTGTCTCCCCAGAGGGAGAAAATATACAGTACGCACTTCGGTTTGGTTTCAACGCAACCAACAACAAAGCAGAGTACGAAGCCTTGACAGCAGGATTAAAAGTGGCAAATGCCCTAGGGGTTGAGCAATTACACCGACTCCGAGCTGGTCGCTGGACAAGTTCAAGCGGAATATGAGGCACGAGACGAGAAGATGAAGAGTTACCTACAAAAGGTGAAGGAATTAAAGAATCACTTCCAAAGATTCTCAATTCATCAAATACCACGAGAAGAGAATGGGAAAGCAAACGCTTTAGCCCGGCTAGCTACTGCATTGAACCTGAGATCAATAAGAATATACCACTGGAATATTTGGACGAACCATCTATATCTCAGGAGAGACAAATTGAAGTGCAACAAGCGATATTGAGTGTGGAATGGGCAGATCCTATCATCAGATATATCAAGGATGGGGTGCTACCAACAGACCGAGCAGAAGCTCGAAAGGTCAAGATGCGGGCAGCTAGGTATACGCTTATCAAAGGGGTGCTCAACAAGAGAAGCTTCTCCATACCGTATTTACGATGCGTTTCTAGCGAGGAAGCTGACTACATTTTAAGGGAGATCTACCTAGGAGTTTGTGGAAACCATGCTGGGGGTAGGTCACTTGCTAACAAGGCCATCCGACTAGGATACTATTGGCCCACCATACAGAAAGATGCACTTGACTTCGTTCAAAAGTGCGACAAGTGTCAACGATTTGCCAACATTCCGAGACAACCGTTAGAGGAGATGACTCCCATGTCAAGACCATACCTCTTTCCCCCTTAAAAGAATGAAGGGTCAGCTTCATCTTCTTCCCTCGATAAAAAGATGAGGGGTTAACTACTTCCCTTGTTAAAGGGTGAGCTGAGTGAAGCGCATATTAATCTACTTCCCCTGTTAAAGGGTGACCTGGGTGAAGCTCGTATTAATCTACTTCCTTTGTTAAAAGGTGAAATAAGTGAAGCTCATAGTAATCTACTTCCCTCGTAAAAAGATGAGGGGTTAACTATTTCCCTTGTTAAAGGGTGAGCTGAGTGAAGCTCATAGTAATCTACTTCCCTTTTAAAAAGATGAGGGGTTAACTACTTCCCTTGTTAAAGGGTGAGCTGAGTGAAGCTCATAGTAATCTACTTCCCTCGTAAAAAGATGAGGGGTTAACTACTTTCCTTGTTAAAGGGTGAGCTGAGTGAAGCTCATAGTAATCTACTTCCCCTGTTAAAGGGTGACCTGGGTGAAACTCGTATTAATCTACTTCCCCTGCTAAAGGGTGACCTGGGTGAAACTCGTATTAATCTACTTCCCTTGTTAAAGGGTGAGATAAGTGAAGCTCATAGTAATCTACTTCCCTCGTTAAAAGGTGAGCTGGGGGAAGCTCATAGTAATTTACTTTCCCTGTTAAAGGGTGAGCTGAGTGAAGCTCGTATTCATCTACTTACCATATTACGAGTTACGTGAAACTCGTCTTAATCTACTTTCCTTATTAAAGGGACGAGCCGACTAAAGATGTCAATAAAATCAAGTATAAAATAACGGTAGCATGCCAGCAGGGCAGCTTGCCAAATAAAGGCAGCATGCCAGTAGAGCAGCTTGCCAAATAACGGCAGCATGCCAGTAGGACAGCTTACCAAATAAAGGCAGTATGCCAGCAGGGCAGCTTGCCAAATAAAGGCAGCATGCCAGCAGAGGAACTTGCCAAATAACGGCAGCATGCCAGTAGGACAACTTACTAAATAAAGGCAGCATGCCAGCAGGGCAGCTTGCCAAATAACGGCAGCATGCTAGCATAACAGCTTGCCAAATAAAGGCAACATGCCAGCAGGGCAGCTTGCCAAATAAAAGCAGCATGCCTGCCAGGGCAACTTGACAAATAACGGCAGCATTCCAGCAGGACAGCTTGCCACATAACGGTAGACTACCAGCATGGCATGGCAGCTTGCCACATAACGGTAGACTACCAGCATGGCAGCTTGTTACATATACGAGCTACCAATGTGGCACTACGACAAATATACAAGCTTGCCAATATACGACAAATATACGAGCTTGCCACATATACGAGCTGCCAATGTGATACTATAACCCCCGATTGTATTCGCGAAATGACAATATAAGTCAGGCTAATGGACAAGGCTCTGCAATTCTAACTATATATTATTATGTGATATTTTGGAATTAACGTTCCAGTGGTTTGACAAGCAATCCTCCGAAACGGGGGGCAACTGATGGATGTATAATTTAAATATCCATAATTAAGGGAAGATTACTAAATTAACGCACTATTAAGATAGGCTCTGTAGATTACGATAAGGATTACAGATTGAGATAGGCTTTACAGATTACGATAAGGATTAAAGATTGTGGTAAGGATTAAAAATTACGATGAGGATTAAGTCTACAGATTACAATAAGGTAATTCTACGTGACATCTTAACCTAAGCCCTATAAAAAAGGCGAGGGAATCAACGTTTTGAGGTACGCAATAAACCCTAACTCAATTTCTCGATTTCTCCAGGGAAATTATCATTCACACTAACTTGTTCGTCGGAGCCTACTCCACCGGTAACACACCGGTGTTCGTAGGATCACTTTTTCTTCTCTTTATTCAGGAAGTCAAATCAGATCCAGGTTGCGCAGAATCCATCATCAACACATTTCAACATCAAACTTCAATGAAGCAATCATTGAACAATTGAAAAAACTCAATTCCCAGATGATTAATGTCACAGAATCACATTTAAGAAACAAAAGAATAAAAAGAAAAAAGAAAAGAAAAAAGATTATATGCAAAACAAAAGAACAATTGGAAAAGCGCAAAAAGCCATCTCAAAGTCCGGATCAATAATGGTAAAACCCAATTGAAATAAAGAGAAAAAACAAGAAATAGACATGAAATTAACATCAAACCTCAATGAAGCAATCGTGGAACAAGAGACGCAGTAGTTGCGCTGGGGCTTTCCTGTGCTTGGAGACCATCCGAGTCATGGTCGACCTGATGATTTCAACAACATCAGGGCACGTTTCTCTGTAAAAATCGTAGCTGAGGGCACCTCCTTCATCAATTGAAGAACGTGTTGGTGAAGAAGATGGAGAAAGATTTAAACCCTCTGCTTCACCTTTGCGGTTTATCAGAGAGACGAAAACGGAGAACATAAGTGACAGAAAGACCCATTTGCTCAAAGCAGTCACCATTTTCAATTTCGATTCAAGAAACTCAACGAATCGAAAGAGTTTAGAGACAGACGAAAGAGTTTCAAAAAGAGAACGAAAGCTGTAGATTATTTGTGCGAAGAATGGCACTGCATTTGAGTTTTATAATCGCTAATGGTAATTAATTAGTAATTACTGTACATAAGTTTACCCTTTTACCCTTTTACCCTTTTGTTATACTAAAAAAGCATTGATTCATAATGAATGGAGCTAGAAAATTACGTGAGAGGGAGCAAATTTATATAATGGTTTTTTTTTATTTTTTTATTTTTAATTGTAGTGGGAATAATTTGAAAATTTTATAAATATACAATTCAGAAAGATAATAATTTAAGACTATATAATACAAAAATAAAAAAAATTTAATGCTAGCGGATGCCTCCATTGAGCTCACAGTAAATGCTTCCCTGATATGATGTATGTACTAACTTTTAATACACTACCACCTTATGTACGGATTAATTTTCTTTACTAATATATAGTGCTAAATAATAAATACAAAGAAAAATAATAATTACATCGGTTTATTTTTAAGAAAAAAATGATGCACCAAGGGCCTTGTGAGATTATTTTCTTTTACCTGCAATCTCCAACTTCATCCCAGACTATCAGCTTACCTTTGACAATCATCTCCGAGAATTGCCTATCGGAATCTAAATTTTAAAACTTCTCTAAACATAATAACTTCTACTACTCTAGTCTGTAGTTGAGATAGAGTGATAGTGAAAAACAAATGCAAGTTATGGGGTATAAGAAATTCAACATTGTCACGAATAACAAAACTATTACTAGCAAGCCCTAATTCACAGCAAGACTTTTTTATTTAGGCTTCATCAAATTAAAAACAAAAAGCAAAATTTAGCAAGGTTCTCACTTGGAAGCTAATGCTTAGGATGGCAATGGGGCAAGGCGGGGCTGGGATATCCCCATCCCCATCCCCGATAATTTTTTTCATCCCCATTCCCGCCCCCATCCCCGTTTAAAATTTCACTTCAATCCCTATGCTCGCCCTAGCTCTCAATTCCCCATCCCCGTCCCGCAATCCCATCCCATTTAATATACACTATAATTTTTTTAACACGTAATTTTTCTTATTTTTAGAGTATGTTTATATATACTCAATATAATTTAGTAATATATCATAATATATAAGGGTATTTTAGTAAATGTACACCCTAAATGGGCGGGGTGGGTTTACCTTATCCCCGCCCCCACCCCCGCCCCCGCTGGGCTTCCAAAATTACCCCATCCCCATTTGCATAAAAGGGTCCCCAAACCTGCCCTAAATGGGGCAGGGCGGGGCGGGGACCCAGTGGGGATGGAGAATTTGCCATCCCTACAATAATGCTAGCGAGTTATGTATACTATGTTTGGAGGGAAAGAAACAATAGAATTTTCACGATTCAGTGCGGTTCAGGCTCTTCTCGATCAAGAACTATGTTTGTCCTTTTGCAGAAGGAATGGAATCTTCCCAACTCCTTCTTTGAATAAGATTGCACCAACTACTTCTTCTCTATCTATTGAGAACCATCTCACCATTTTACCATACCACCTACCACCAAGTTATGGACCTTCACTGAGACTTGTTGATGTGTTCCCGCCAATGCCTTTGAGTGGGTTGTGCTAGTGATGTAGGACAGAATTATGTACAGTTCGACAAACAGTTCAACAAGTCTGTTTTTGACAAACTAATAGTAATTTTTGGGTGGAAACGACGCATTAAGAAAAACCCACTAGCTTTAGATTGTGGGCCATGCTGATTTTCGATTGAAAACCTTCGTTTAGGACTCGGAAATCACGTTTTATTGTATTATAGGAGGCCTGAGAATTATTTCGGGCTTTTTGTTCGAGGCCTTAATGAAGTTCGAATGCTCTGAGATTTTATATTTAGTAGTTTTATTTGATTAGGTTTCTTTCTCTATTTTTCCAGAATATTTAGAGAAATTTTATTTTTATGCTTATTTCTAGGATTAGTTTCCTTCTAGTATTAGGTTTTCTCTATTATAAAATATTCATGTATTGTAAGAACAAAATTTAACCTTTTATCAATAATATTTCAGAATTTTTTATGAATTTATCTCTTATTTTGTGGATTCAAAACACCCTACTTTTTGGATTCAAAGTAACATGTTCCATGTGAATAAATCTGTCGTTGTTGGTATTAGAGCCTTAATTTACCCTCGGCTGATGAAGATTGCTCACTTTGGTAGCACCCACTTTGCCGACGATGATCGCAGAGTGCAAGCCCCTTGGGCAGCCATACATACTCAAGATTGGTTTGTAGCAACTAATTTTGGAATTGGTGGCAACCAAGTTCGTGGTTCAGTTCGTGTTTACATTGATGATGTGTCTCGCAACCAATCGAGCATGGGTTATGTTCCTGTTTATCTACGTAGGCCTCCAGCCTATGCAGATTATTTCGATGATTCTTCCGATAATAAGGAGTGCATAATCCGTGATCGAGGTAGACATAACAATCATGAATTTCAGGTAAAATTTGATCTACTTACTTTCAATGGAAGTTTTAATATTGAAGATGTCTTGGACTGGATTGAAGAAGTTGAAGAATTTTTCGAATATTTTGATGTACCTAAAAACAAGCAAGTTCCGTTTGTTTCCCTTCAAGCTTAAAGGATCGACTTCAATTTGGTGGGAACAAATACAGTTTCATCGAATGAGGGAAGGATCACATCATGTTCAGTTGTGGTACAAGATGAAATAGATGTTCATGGCTAAATTTCTACCATCAAATTATGAAGAGTTGTTGTTTTAAAAATATCAAAATTGTTAGAAAAAGAATCCATTTGTTAAAAAGTTTTTAGAAAAATTTTACCAAAAAAAAAAAAAGGTGGCATCAAAGAAGATCAAAATAATTTTATTGATGCAACAAGTGATTTTATTAAGGTTTATCAAGAGCAAAATAATGTTGCTTCACCTATTGTAATTGAAGAAGATGAAGTCAAGGATGTGAAAACATTAATTCCTTTGCAAGAGTTGGTAGATGCAGAAAAGCACTTTAGCACAATAAAAGAAGAAGATGGTGACACAGAGTTCGATGTTGAAATTGAGCAATAAGAATTAAATGATGATCAACGAGTTAATAAATTTTCCAAATCTGATGTGATCCAAGATGGTATAGAAGAATTCGGGCTTCAAATTGGTGAAGTATCATTATTTAAGCAAATTGTTAATGAGGAATTATTTATTCCAAAATGTGCCGATGAAAATACTTTGGTGTTGTACTTTAGATATTCTCATGACAGTGAACAATATGATTTTGTGGTAGGCAATAATTCATTTTATTCATAGCCAAACTCGAGGATGAGTTTTTTTGAAGTAGAGAGGACTGATGTAGAACAGAATTCTGCACAGTTCGACAAGCAATTCAACAAGTCCGTTTTCAACAAATTAATAGTGTTTTTTGGATGAAAATGACGCATTGAGAAGAACCCGGTTGTGGACCATGCTGGTTTTCGGCTGAAAACCTCTGTTTAGGACTCTAAAGTCACATTTTATTGTGTTATAGGAGACCTGCCGATTATTTCGGGATTTTTGTTGAGATTTTATATTTAGTAGTTTTATTTGATTAGGTTTCTTTTTCTATTTTTCCAAAATATTTAAAGAAATTTTATTTTTATACTTATTTCTAGGATTAATTTCCTTTGTAGATTAGATTTTAGTTTTCTTCTAGTATTAGGTTTTCTCTATTATAAATATTTATGTATTGCAAGAGCAAAATTTAACCTTTTATCAATAATATTTTAGAATTCTTTATGAATTTATCTCTTATTTTGTATTTTTTTAAATACCTTATTTTGTTGATTCAAAGTAGCCCGTTTCGTGTATGTCATGTAGTTTACTTGGGCCACACTTTGCGCTACAAGGGGTGGACAATATGTATGGTGTTGCACAGGTTTTGAATTTATATTGCTGTGCATTAGCTGTTTGGATTAGGGGTGGCAATTCGTGTTCGTGGGTCGTGTTCGTATCGTGTCGATATAAGGGTATTATACTAAATACGTAAACCCAAACCCAACCCATTTAATAATCGTGTCAAGAATTCTCAACACTAACCCAATCCGTTTATTAAATAGGTAAACGTGTTAACCCGTTTAATGACGTATTTATCAAAACGAAACATTTAATATTTAATCAAATACTAAATAATAGAAAAAATTGTCATAATTGTAATACCCCTAATTTTAAAAGGATCGGATAGTCTCGGTATTTTATTAACTATTTTAAATGTATTTTTAAATTCTTTATTTGGTTTCTTGGCTATTTGTTTAATTGATTATATTAATTATTTGATTATGTGTTTATTTGAAATACTTGTTTAGTTGAATTATGTGTTAGATGATATGTATTTGTTTACTTAAATATTAGGTGTCTTCTAGTAATTCATGGTTAGGAATTAAATGTCTTCTTGTATGTGATTTAAAAATTATGTATTTCGTTCTGATAAGAATACATCCGATCCCCAAACTCCTAAACAATACTTCTTATATACCTCTTTTAGAGATGATAAGAAAGATTTAATTATTTGTAGATTGATCAACCACAATTCTACTAATAACATTCGCTATACTAATAGCAATTCAGATCATCTCGCGCAATCATCCATCTTCAAGATTTAGTACCCTCTCTATTGGATACACATAAATCTCCTCCATTAGGATCCTCTTCGGCTCCTACTCCTTGCTTGTCTCCTTTTTGAGATCAACTGAAGTCGTGTTGGTCCCGATATGCGGTGACTTATTACGTACACCTAAATCCTTCATTGGCTTATACTTTTAAAGTAACGCCAAACGAACCTAAACCATCAATCCTTAACTCTGCCTTCTGGCAACGAAATCGATAACATACTCCTCTACTCCTTTGGGTCTTTATTGCTTTTGCCTTGAACCCATCATTTTTCTAGTGCCAACCATTCTATGACTACAGAATATAATTGACATCAGCTCCTCCTAACAAACCGTAAA